GGAAGAGGAGTGTTCCTGAGGGTGGCAATCAGCTCTGACTGGTTAACAATTAAGGAGAGGTAGACTTCACGAAGAGAAGCAAGCTCACTCCAATGAGGGGCTGAGAGTGACATATGTCACTCTTGGCCAGAGAGACTCTCCCCATACTCAGACCACCCTCAGCCTGTGGCAAAGAATCTATATTCCCCTACACAAGCCTGAGCTAGTTTGGTAGAGTAGCAATGCTCAGAACGAGGAGAATGTTCATCCTATCTTCCATCAGCCCTGTCCTAGAGAAATTGGACAAGGAAATAGGACAGGTAAAAAAAAAAGCTGGGGTCTCCCCGATTTTAGTAATTGGCTGTTAATATGAGAAATAATTCTTTCTCTCCATACAGTGTAGTTAAAATGAAGTCTGGGTGAAGGGATATGTAGTCAGATAAGTCTAGAAAGGCCAGGCTAAGGAGCTTGTATTCTAGCCTACAGGCAACTTTTGAATACTAAGTGATAAAATGAGAACGCTGTATTATTAGAAGATTATCTTAATAGGATAGATTGAAAAATAGATAAGAGATGGGAGGAGGAAGACCGTTTAGGAGGCTATTACTGACAAGAAGGCATGAGAGCTTGAATTGAGGGGTAGGTAGCATGAGCAGAAAACACAGAATGGATGAGAAAGAAAGAGGAAGGCAAGACTGATGGTACTTGACAGCTGATTAGATGTAGAGAGTGAGGGAGAGGGAAGAATTGTAGGTGACATGGAGGTCTTTGAACCAGGGTGACTGGAGTGGTACTGTCAAACCCAAATTAAAAAGATGAATATATCCCTTGTGTTCTGCCACCCTCTGTCAGCTGATAAGCTCCTCAAAGGCCAGGGCTGTGTATTTTTGTGTCCCCAAGGCTGAGCGTGGTGTCTTAAACATAACACATGCTAGACTTTTTTTTTTTGCTTTTTGGTGAGGCAGTTGGGGTTAAGTGACTTGTCCAGGGTCACACAACTAGTGTCAAGTGTCTGAGGCTGAATTTGAACTCAGGTCCTCCTGACTCCAAGGCCAGAGCTCTATTTACTGCGCCACCTAGCTGCCCCTAGACTTTTTTTTTTAAAAACATTGAATTGACTTAAATTGGGAAGAATACATCTTCGGAGGGGAAGAGGATGATTCAATGTCAGACAAGTTGACTTTGAGGTACCAGTGGGACATCCAGGTGGAGGAATGCAGCAGACAGTTGGAAATAGGGAACTGAAACTCAGGATTGATAGATTTGGGAGTCTTTTGCCTAGAGCAGATAACTAAAGCCAAGGGAGTAGATGAACTCACCAAGGGAGAGGGTGCAGAGTAAAGGTGACTGAAGACTCTGGGGGACAATTAAAGGGAAATGAAAAAGGGCCTAGGGAAGAACCTTATAAGACACTAATACCTAGGAGGTAGGAAGAAAAACCAGTGAAGGAGACAGAGAAGAAATAGACCAGCAAAAGAAAAACTGGGCAGGTAGGTAGTGCAGCGTATAGAGTGCCGGGCCTAGAGTCAGGAAGATTCACCTTCTTGAGTTCAAATCTGGCCTTGGACACTTTCCAGCTGAATGACCCTGGGCAAGTCACTTAACCTTGCTTCATCTGTAAAATGAGCTGGAGAAGGAAATAGCAAACCACTCCAGTATCTTTGCCAAGAAAACCCCAAATAGGGTCAGGAAGAGTTGGGCATGACTGAAATGACTGAACAACAAAGGGTAAACTATGAAGGGAGTATCTAGAATGACAAAGTGGTCAACAGTATTAAATTCTACAGAGTTGTTAAGGATGATGAAGCCTGAATATGGGCCAGAGAAGTTAGCCATTAAGAGGTTATTGATGTCTTGAAAGTGATCTGAGAAAGCATATTCAGTCGAGTTCTAGTGACAGAATCCAGACTGCTGGGGACTTGGTGAGTGGGTAATGGTATGGAGCTAGCATCTGTACCCCCATTAGAGTATAAACACCTGAACAATTCTTTCTAGAAGTTTAGCAGTGAAGGGAAAGGGAGAAAAAGGACTACTGCTTGATTAGGTAGCAGAGTCTTGGGAAGATTGGGGGGGCATGATTGTTTTTTATTTTAGGATTGTGGAGAACTAAGTATTTTTGTAGATTGAAAAGAAGGAATCAGCAGAGCAGGAGAGGGTATACAAGGGGATGAAACTGGGAAGTGACATGACACGATCAGACCTATGCTCTAGGAACATCCCTTTGGCAACTGTCTACAGAATAAGCTGTAGGAGGGAAGAGTCTAGAAGCAGGAAGACCAATTTGAAGAGCCTCTTGCACTAGTCTAGGTAAGAGGTGATGAAGGCCTGAACTAAGACTTCATTCTGTAAAGAAAAAAGCACAGCCCCAGGGCAGGGTGACCACCTATAGGTCAGGCCTGTCCCTGCTTGTGCAAGGCCCCACACAAGCACATCCAGAAGGACACATAAATGCATGCCAACAAGCGAGCCCCTTCCCAGACACACACACACACACACACACACACGAACACACACATTCCATAGTACAAACAAAAACACCAAACCAGAAATGCCTGTAATTGAGGGTAAGGACTGTCTTTGGACACTTTTTGTATCCTCAGCACTTTAGCACAGGATCTAGCACATAGTAGGTGTTTAATAAATGTTTGAGAGATGGAGAGAGAGATGAATTCAAGAGCTGTAGGAGCAAAATTGACAAGATTTGGCAATTTTTTGTATGTGAGGGGATAGGGTAAGGGAGGGAAGGGAGAGAGAATAAAGACTAGAAGATGACTGAGGTTGTGAACCTGAGTGACTGGAAAGTGCTCTCAACACAATTAGGAAGTTTGGAAGATGGGAGGGTTTGAGGAGAAAAATAATAAATTTTTTTTGGATGTGTTGAGTTTGAGGTGCCTATGGGATATCTAGGTGGATATGTCCAGTAAGTAGTTTGTGACGAGACTAGAACTCAATCATTCAACAGTATTTATTAAGCATCTACTATGATCCAGGCACTGAGGACAGAAGTACAAAGAATAAAACAATACCTATTAGACAGGAGCTTATATTCTAATGGGGAGACAGAGAGAGTAGGGTTGGATATGTAGTAAATCTGGGAAATATCTGGTTAGAGATAACTGAACCCATTAGAACTGATGAGATCAAAAAGAGAAAGACAGACAGGAGAAAGAAGAGGGACCAGGTCAGAGCTTTGGGGTACATCCACAGATAGTGGATGGGATATGCATTATCATTCAACAAAGTAGAATGAGAAGTAACCAGATCCTCATATTACCTTATCCCAAACCCCTTGCCTTCTCTCCTCCTTTCCTCTATTCTCCATGGAAGCCAAGGAAGAATTTCTGAGATTAGATGCTGAAAATGTCAGATGCTGAAGAAATGTCAAAAAGGATAAGGACACCTCCAAACTTGTCTCTTTCCAATGTCCTCCATTCCATGTTCAGAAAAAAATTGGGTTTAACTCTGCACTTCACTGACGTTAAACAGTCATGTAATCAGAAAGTCAGAGCTGGAAGGGACCTTAGACCATAGAACACAAAATGTCAGAGCAGCAAAAGACCTCAAAAGATCAATCTAGTCTAACCTCATTTTATAAATGGGGACACTGGGCCTAGAGTGGTAAAGTAACTTTTTCAACCACACAGAATGAGTCACTTCCAGATCCAGGACCTAAATTCAGGTTTCCCGACTCCCAGGCTAACTAACACTCTACAACATGCAAAAAAGTGGGGCCTGACCAGAAATGTTCATTGCAACAGTTCTGCTTATACCCAGGGGCTACAGGAGGGTGAGTGTGGAACCACTCAACTTTTCCTTCAGGTTTTTCCTGGTAAACAAATATGAAAAATAAGCGAGGAGGAGCAGAGTGGTAAGAGATTTAAATCAATCAATAAACAAGTATTTGTTGAGTGCTTTAAAGCCCTCCTGGGTATGTGTGTATGTGTGTGTGGGAGGACTGAGTAAGAAAGGAAGCCAGCTGTGGCGGAAAGAGCACTAACTCAGGGATCGGGATTCTTGTTCCAGTTCTGCCAGTAATTTGCTGTGTGACCTTTGTTGTCATTTTTCCCTTTGTGTCTCAGTTCCCTCCTTTATTAAGATTCAGAGACAGCTGTGGTGGAAAGTGCACTGAATTCGAAGTCAGGAGACCTTGTCCCAGTTCTGCCAGTAATTTGCTGTGTGCCCCTTGTCCAGTCACTTCCCTTTCTGAACCTCAGTTTCCTCTTCTGTAAGAGAAGGTTGAACTAGATACTTTGGGGGGAGGGGTGACTTCCAAACCGTTTTCTGGTCCACCTGCTCCTTGGCTTTCAGTGAACCTCTCCAGCATCCCCAGTTCAATATGAACGGCAAAAGATGCTGGAATTTCCTGCGCATATGCACATTAGAAAAACCCCTTATTCAGTGGGGCGGCAAGCACATTCTGGAATTTATCATGCATATGTGCATAAGAAATAAAGAGATTAATTAGATTACTTTCAAAAGGATGCTCACGTGGTTAGCCAAATACGAGTACCACCTGGGCAAGCGCCTCTTACACCAAACCAGGAACCCTAGGATTAGATGCTTTCCAAGTCCTTTCCAGCTCTCATTCTGGGGGTTACAGCCCAACCTCCCCATTTCCTTCTCTCCACCCATCCACATGCTCTCCCCAGGCTCTTTTTTCCCTCGGCTGAACTTCCTCCCAGGTGGCCTGGAAGTCTCAGAATTCGGGTCCCAACTCTTTTTGTAGCAATAGCAAATGTACTATCGCGACATGCCCCAGCAGCAAACTGCCTCAACCGGTCCAGCTAAAAAACAAAACACAGATGCTTTAACAGTTCGACTTCGACCCTAGAACTGGCAAGGAGAGGGCGGGGAGTGGCTCCCTGCACAAACGTTCCTCCAGGTTCGGGAGGCGACCCGAGGAGCCTCGGAACCCTCGAGCAGTCGCGACGGAGACTGGGGGGAGCGAAAGGGTGAGGAGCGGAGGGGTGTGGTTTGGTAAAGCATGAACACACAACACTTCCGGCGACACCGGAAGCGGAGGTGAGGGAGGCGGCCACGGGCCCAGGCTACGGGGATGGCTGGGCGGACGACCCTGCTGGCCCTGCTGGCCGGAGCCGCAGCGCTAGCGGACGCCTCCCAGGGTGACCGGGAGCCCGTGTACCGTGACTGCGTCCTCCGCTGCGACGAGTGGAACTGCTCCGGGGCCGGTCTGCAGCACTTCCGCTCCCACCAGCCAATCTACATGAGTCTGGCAGGTAAGCCCCGCCCACATAGAGGCCCCGCCCAGTAGCCAGACCACGCTCACGCCCCCTCACCCACCTTGTAGTCCCCTCCCTTTCCCCTCTTCCTCTTCAGCATCTGTGCCTCGGTTTCCCCACGGGTAGGGTTGGGGAAGTGAGTGACAGCCCAGTAGTGACCGCAGAGGTCCTGGGTCACCCAGCCTGGATCCTCAGCCCTCCTCCATGTTTGGCAAATCCTGGGGATAGAAGCAAGGGTCGCAGTAGTTAGAATGCTGGGCCTGGAGTTAGGAAGACCTGAGTTCAAATGTGGCCTCAGACTCCTAACCGGTTATATGACCCTCAGCAAGTCATCTAACTTCTCTCAGCCTCGGTTTCCTCATATGTGAAATGGGCATAATAAGAGCATTTACCTCCCAGGGTTGTTGAGGATCAGATGAGATAATGATTGTAAAACGGGCAGGTAATAGTGCTTATATAATAGGCACTATATAAATATTAACCATTATCATCATTATTATTATTAGATTCTGTTCAGTTGCATTTAGTTCTAGTGCACAAACATTGATTAAAGTTCCTGTGTGCAGAGCGATGCAGAGTTTATCCTTGCTCACCTGGAGCTAATGATCCCTCAGAGAGGTAATAATGCACAAACAGGCAGAATGGAGAGCTACCCATGGAATTCTCTGAAGAAACTCCCTGAGGTAGAGGAGTACAGTGTAGAAGAGCCTGGGTTCTTTTGTCAGGAGATCTAGGTTCTAGTCTAGGTTCTGATCTTAATTAGCTCGGTAGTGTTGGCCAAGAAATGTCCCTCTTTTGGTCCTCAAGCATTGCTAACTATGGACCAGGCACCATAATAAGGCCAATGTTGCAAAGAAAAATCCAGAACAATCCCTAATCCAATAAATCCAATAAATATTTATTAAGTATGTAGGCCCTGGATGAGGATATATTTAGTAGAAAGAAAGATAGTCCCTGTCCTCAAGAAGGTTACACTCTAATGGGATTGATAACATATACATAAATAGATATGGACAAGATGCATACCAAGTAGATGGAAGATAACCTTTAGAGGGTAAGAAGTTAGCCCCTGGGGGGTAGTGGGAAGGGTCTCTTGCTGAAGGTGGTCTTCTCATCTTTAAAATAGGATTGAATCTGTTACCAGATCCTGTCAATTCTACCTTTGAAATATCACTAGTATGTGCTCCCTTATCTTCTTTAACACTGCTACACCACCCTTGTGCATACCCTCATCACTCCCTGCTTAGACTATTGATTTGCATGGTCTGCAATAGCTTTATCGGCCTCCCTGCCTCAGGTTTCCTCCTTTCAGTACATCCTTTACTCAGCCATCAAGATAATTTTCCTAACATGGAGGTCTAACCATGTAACCTCCCCTATTTAATAAACTCCAGTGGCTCCTTATTAACACCGGGATCAAATGTAAAAATCCTGTTTGGCTTTTAAAATCCTTTGTAACTTGGCTCCTTCCTACTTTCCCAGTCATCTTATACCTTAACTTCCCTTCACATACTCTACTATGCAATGACATCCGGCCTTCTTGCTGTTTTTTTTTAACAAAATACTTTATTGCCTGACTCTGTGCCTTTTCCCTGGCTGTCTTCTTTGTATGAAATGTTTTCCTCCTAATTACCTTCTGGCTTCTTTGGCTTCCTTCAAATCTCAACTAAAATCCCACCTTTTGCAAGAAGCCTTTCACAATTCCATTAATGCTTGTGCCTTGCCTCACAGATCACCTCCAATTTATGCTGTATATAGCTTGTTTGTACATAGTTGTTTATATGTTGTCTTCCCTATTAGACTATGGAGTCCTTGGGAGCAGGGCTTGTTTTTGCCTTTATACTCTCTCAGCACTTGGCACAATGCCTGGGACACAGTTAGTCCTTAATAAATGCTTGTTGACTTGACACTAGGGTTCTGAGCAGGGAGAGAAACAGGTGAGCCCTAGGGAAACACACACAGACACACAGACACACACACACACACACACACACGTTGCAGCTCGGTTGCACAGTGGATAGAGTGCCAGGTCTAGAATCACAAAGACTGCAGTTACGATCTGACCTCAGACACTTACCACAGTGTGACCTGGGGAAGTCATTTCACCCTGTTTGCCTCAGTTGTCCTATCTGTAAAAAGAGCTGGAGAAAAAAATGACAAACCACTTCAATATCATTGCCAAGAAAACCCCAAATGGAGTCACGAAGAGTCAGATATGACTGAAACAACTGAACAACTGTGTGTGTGTATGTATGTATATATACATATATATGTGTGTACATATGTATGAACATGTGTATACATATGCATGTATGTATGTATACACACACATCAAGAGAACATTTTTTTAAAGGAAAAAAAGGAACCAGTGGAGACTAAGAAAGAGTTATTAAAGAGGTATCAGGAGAACCCAGAAAACTTAGTGTTCCAGAAACCAAGGAAGAAGAGGGCTTGGTCAGCAGTGTCAGATGCTGAAGAAATGCCCAAGAGGATGAGCACAGTAAACGGGTCACTGGATCTGGCAATGGGGAGGTCACTGGTGACAAGAGTTTCAGAAGAGCTCTAGCTTTATGATCCTATGACCCCCTAAAACTGTTCAGAATCTCAGAATCACCAGTGACCTCTTCATGACTATTAGCTGCCTCTTTCCTGTCCTCACCCCCCTTGACATTCTGCAGTTTAGGGCCACTTAACCTCTTCCTTCTGTTATTCACCCCTGTTTTGTCTTCAGTGATACTGTTAGAACTGATTCTCTTCTCTAATCACTCCTTCTCTGCCTCTTTTGCTGATTCATCTTCCTCTTCCTGCCCTCTAAATGTCTTCTAGGGTCCTGCTCTCAAACGTCTTCTTTCAGTAGAATTTCTCCTGTGGTGATCTCATCCATTCCCATGGTTTCAATTATCACCTCTTGCAGATGACTCCAAAATGTAGATCTCCAGCTCTAATCTCTCCCCTGAGCCACAATCTTGAATTTCCATCTGCCTGCTGGATTTCTCCACCTGGATGTCACACCCACACCTCCAGCTAAACATGTCCCAAACTAAATTCATCTTCCCCCAAAAAACTGCAGTGTAGTGCAGTGTAGAGAGAGAGAGAGAGACAGTGCATTGGGTTTGAAATAAAGTAAAATTAGAGGGCATCTATTCCGGCTCTGGCTCTGCTTTTAAACAAGTTGTGACCTCTCTGGGCTATGGTTCCTCACCTATATAATGAGAATTTTGGAAAGGAGGTGTCCAAGGGCCTTTCCAGCTCTAATCTGTGATTATTTGATTCTGCTTCTGGCTTCCCTTTTTCTACTGATGGCGCACAGTCCTTCTCTGAGCCACTTGGGCTCAAAACTTGGAGACATTTTTGACTGTTTCCTTTCCATCTTATTCTATATCCAACTACTTGCTTAATGGGGAGCCTTCTGAGAACTATGGTGGTGCCAGCCTATTCTACCTTCAGCATATTGTTGCATCCATGCCCGCTTCCCTACTCTCATTGCTGCTTCCTTTCTTCAGTCAGTCAGTAAACACTTGTTAAGCGCCTACTATATGCCAGGCACTGTTCTAAATACTAAAGGTACTAAGAAACACAAAAGACAGCCCCTAATCTTGAGGAGTTTCCATACAACCTACAAACAACTAAACAACTATGTACAAACAAGCATAAATAGAAGGTCATCAACAGAGGGAGGGCATTGGAATTAGGGGGGATTAGAAGACTTTTCCTGTAGAAGGTGGGATTAGTTGTGACTTGAAGGAAGCCAGGGAAATCAAGAGGCAGAGAAGAGGACGGAGAGCATCCTGGGCACAGGGGACAGCCAGAGAAGATGCCTGGAGCTGAGAGGTAGAGAATCTTGTGCTTGGAACAAGAAGGAAGCCAGTGTGGCTGAATAGAAGAGCCCATGGGGAAAGTGGGGGGAGGGGTAAGGTATAACACAACAAGAGAGGGCTGGGGCACTAGGTTATGAAGGACTCAACAAACAGGACTTTTATTGAATAGAGGGGTGATGTGATCAGAGTTGTGCTTTAGGAAAATCGAGTTAGTGGCTGAATGGAGGATGGATTGACGTAGGGAGAGCCTTGAGACAGGCAGACCCACCAGCAGGTGGTTAAAGTAATCCCCAGCGTGAGGGGATGAGAACTCACTTTAGAGTGGTGGCAGTGTCAGAGGAGAGAAGGGGGCACTGGAGAGGTGTAGAGATGAGAAGATGTTTTGTGAAGGTGAAATAGACAGCGGTATCGGTACAGGTCCTTATCACCTCTTAACCTGGACTTCTGAACCAACCTCTCTCCTTTGCAATCTAATCTTTACACGGTTACCAAACTAATCTTAGTATAAAGCTCTGACTACATCATTCCCCTTCCTTAGATTCTTTGCTGGCCTTCCATTACCTGTCACCTAAAATGCGGACTCTTTAGTTTAACATGTAAAGCCCTCAGAATCTGGTGTATCTTGCCTTTTCAGTTTTATTTCATTTTCAATTTATGCCCCATCAGAAACCCTGCATCCTAGTCACCTGTTCCCTAGTCTTGCCTTATATATTCTTATAGGAGCAGGCTGTCTTCCATATCTCTGCCTTCAACTTCCTTCAAGGCCCAGCTCAGGTACCACCTCCTCCATGAAGCCTTCCTGGCCCACCCAAGCTGAAATTGCTCTCTCCTCCAAATTTCTCTTAGCATTTTTCTAGGCCTTTCCTCATCCTTACCCTATTCTATCTTGTATAATGGGCATTTGTGTACATTATTCACAATTGCCCTAGTTAAATTGTCAATAGATTAACTAAGGGGACTGTGTTGTTTTTCATCTTTGTTATCTCCATGCCTCTGTGCTTTGCACGTTGTTGTCATTTTGAAAACGCTGCATTTAGTTGGATTAAGTTAAGTGGTGGATGGGGCTAGGGTAGGGCTAAGGAATTCTGGCTACCTCTGGTCCAGAGCTAGAATTCTAGAATCTTACTGCCGAGAGGGGCCTTGGGGACCATCTAATCAACTTCATTTTACAGATGGGGAAATGACAACCCAGAGGCGTGAACTTACTTCCCCAGGGTCACAAAACCAGTTAGAAGCATCCAAGACTAGAGCCCATATCCCTTAACTGCCAACACAAGACTCTTCCCACCATTGTTAGCTGTCTTTTCCCCCAAATGGCCCACATATGTACATACAGAGCTCTGTGATACTTACTCGCTGCAGTGTGTGGGAGCCAGGAGTTTTGAGCCATATTGGGAGATGGGGAGATGACCTAGTTTTTCTCCATTCACATTACAGAACAAGGGAAATCTTCCCTGTGGAGGTGAAGAGACAAAAGCGGGGGAGGGGGCGGAGGAGGACGTCCTGCATCAAGGCCTTCTCTCCTGCATGAAATGAAAACAAAGTTGGGAGGAGATGTGTGGTTGGTTGGCTGGGGAAGACCTCAGCTCAGATGGGTTTCATCTCCTTTAGAGAATCAGAAAATCTCTATATTTGCCCAATTGATTCTGCCCAACAAACCCTGCTTTCAGTATCCTTCTCATAGGTGTTATCTCATCCTTCTCCCATAGGGATGGAGGACAGAGTGTTTAGTTCCATTTTACTTCTCACTGATCTGCAAGTGAAATTTCTCTAATTCCATATCCAGATTTTTTAAGACAGAGAGTAGGATTAGGGTTACTAAGAAACTTTTTGTCTTTTTCAGGCTGGACCTGCAAAGATGACTGTAAGTATGAATGCATGTGGGTCACCGTGGGCCTCTACCTCCGAGAAGGTTACAAAGTTCCTCAGTTTCATGGGAAGGTGAGTCAGCAGAAGAAAGGATGGTGATGGGTGTATTGGGGGGGGGGAGGCTTCTGATGAGCCAAGGGGAGGGTGGTAGGAGTTGGAGGATGGGATGGAGTAGCATGGTTTCGGAGGCTGCAGTGCCAGGAAGTGGGCCCTAGGCTGTGTTTCTTTTTGACCTTGTTCTTATTTCTGATGGTCCAGTGGGAACTCTGTGTCCTGTCCCAGACCTGGGGAGATCAGATGGATGAGCCAGGCATGAGGCTCATTAGCACTTTAGGAACATGGACCTTTCAGGCAGAGTTTGTCATTTTTTTTTTAATAATAAGAAAAAGACATCATAAGTGAATATGACTTTCTAGACTTGCCATCATGCTTTGAACTGTTTCTCCAACAGTGGAGGTGGGTCATCATCATGACTGGTGATAATAAACATTTATGTTAATGATAATTTGAGAAATGTGAAATAGCTTCTAAAATGGTCTCACCAATAAAACCTTTCATTTGATCCTCAGTAAAACCACGTGAGGTAACCAGGTAGATGCTGTAACGTGAGGCCCATTTTACAAATACAGTACAGTATGGATCTGTGGGGAAACAGAGGCGCAAGAAGGAACTGAGAGCCAGGAGAGCTGTGTTCCCATCTGAGCACTTCCAGTTACTAGCTGTGCGACCCTGGGCCAGTCACCTGGCTCATAGTTCCTATTCTTTCCATTGCTCACCCCTGGTATTCCGAGGAGAACAGTCTGCAGCTCCAGACAGGATCTTGTACAGCTCACAGGAAGGAGCGAGGACTGAAGCTGTGAATCTGGTCAGACGTTTTATCCTCCCACCCCATCACCCAATGGAACTCTCCAAGTGGGAAGAAATACCCACAGATGTATACTTGCTTGTGATGCAAATTAATTGCATAGAATTCCCAGGCCTGTTTGTAGGTGCAAAGCAACATTGCAGGTTTCTCATCTATAAACCAGGCCCAAAGCACTGCAAGAGAACGCATGAGCATTCAGGACTGAGGCTGAGTAAGAGAGGCAGAAACATAGAAGAGAAGCCTCCTGCTTTCCTGATGATTGCGGCAGCTGTCACTTAGAGCTGTGGATGTATGTTGTGGCACCCAGGTGATGCATGACTCTGAGCTGCTTCTTCCTTTTCAGTGGCCCTTCTCTCGGTTCCTTTTCTTCCAAGAGCCAGCCTCAGCCGTGGCCTCCTTCCTCAATGGTTTAGCCAACCTGGTCATGCTCAGCCGGTATCGGACCTCTGTCCCAGCTTCCTCCCCTATGTACCACACCTGTGTGGCCTTTGCCTGGGTAGGTAACTGGGCACTAATCCACCCTGGGGCTTGATTCCTCAAAGAGGAACTGAGAACTCCTGGCAGCCAGGTAGCAGCAGCATTGGGGGTAGGGTTGAGGGTGTTGGAGACAGTAGGGAACGCCTTTGCAGGCTGGAGTTCCAGATGCCCCAAAGAATGCTGAAGAAAGGAAACTCATCTCCTGCTGTGTAGGAGCCCTGTTTCTAGATGGGAGGAAATACCAACAAATGCAAATATGCAAAAAAAACACCAAAAAATTCACCTTGATTGAATAGAACTGAAACACTTTTTTGTAGGTCCAAACAACTGCAAATGAATCTGAGCACCTAGAGGACTGATACCTAGTGAAAGGAAGGTAGGGTTGATTAGGAAAAGCTTGCTGGGACTGAGGGTAGCTGTTTGGAAGGAGGAGAAGGAGACGGACACTTTCAAGGCCCTCCCTGAGCAGTTTGTCTCCAGCCTACCTTTCCAGGCTTCCTGTCCCCTGCACCTACTAACGTCGATGCATCCTCGCCTCCTTACCCTTCTCTGAATTCCATCCCCTGCCTCTTGTCTCTGCCCTGAGCCGGCTGTCTCGCATGCCTGGAATGTATTCCTTCTCCTCTCCCACTTCTTAGAATTTTCAGCTTCCTCCAAGGCTTAATGAACTCAGGCAACATCCTCCAGGAAGCCTTCTCTGATCTCCCTGCTTAGTACACTCTCCCTTCTCAAATTTTACTATGTGTATTCCTCTGTTTGAATGTTTTATTGTTCCAGCAGGATATTAGCTCCTTGTCAGCAAGGACTGTTGTTCTGGATTTGAGGCACGATACAGAGCACCTAGGAGGACCTTAGTAATTGCTTGTTGAATTGCATTTGGTGCCAGGAAAGCATGACATAGTGGACTAAGAGCTGGGCTCAGTGCTGGGACAACCTGGGTTCAGGTTCTCCCTCTGACACATACTAGCTGTGTGGCCCTTACCCGTCTAATACTTAGAATCTGGGATTATAAGTTACAGAGAAGGTTCTGGCCTGCTTTCATTGAGGGAGTTCCCTGTACTGTATTAATGAAATCATAGGTCCATTTCCCCTCCCTGTTGTGTGCAAGTCCTGATTGCTAGGTACTGGGAAAGGTACAAATTTTAGGTAAGACAGGCTTCTTGCCCTCATGATACTGACATGTAAGAAGGATGAAACCCATTCAAAAATACCATAATACAAAATAATCCGTAGGGGTATGAGAATTGGCACTCTAAGATTTGTAGTTCAGAAGGACAAAGAATCCTGTCTGTCTCATTCTCTCAAAGATTTTGTGTTCCTTTTTTCACAATTCTGGGTGTGATTCAATTTACCCAACATCCTTCTAGTCCATTATCTCTCTCAGAGCTGGGATGGAACACATGCCCTTCTGAGAACTACAAAGCCCTGAATGCAAATCACTTCTCACACTCTTATTATAAGCGAGTAAAAACAAAATGGTCTGTAAGGCCCAGGGTGGGGGGAAGGTTTTGAAGCCATAGGCCCACAGAGATCTGTAGTGTCAGTAGGCAGAGGGGAGAAGGCATTCCGAGCACAGAGGATCTGGTGAGGAGAGGTGGGAGGTAACATGTTGTCTAGCTAGGCTCTATGTGTTGTACAGTCCTAATGTTTCCTAAATTCTCTAGTCCCACATTACCAGCTTCTTCCTAGACATCTCCCACCCGATGTGCCTTAGTTATCTTAAACTCGACATGCCCCAAACATTATCTTTCCCTCACCCTCAACCCATCCCTCTGCCTTTCTAGGTCACTGCCATCCTTGGAAGTGCTCAGGATCACAACCTGTGACCCATCCGTGACTCTTCATTCTCTCTCACCCTCCTCCCCCATAGCCATAGCTGCCAAATCTTGTTCTTTCTTTCTGCACCACCTCTTATATCTTTTTCCTTCTCTCTATTCATATGTTCACTTCTCTATTTTAGGCTCTCACCACCTAGACTGTTAGCTCACCTTCTTCCTAACTGGTCTCCTTTTTCCATGTTCCTTCCACACAGCTGCCAAAGTGACATTCCAAAAGCACAGGTCTGACCGTGTCACTCCCCTGTTCAAAAAATTTTAGCAGTCACCTATTTTCTTTAAGATAAAATACAAACTCCTATTTGGCATTTAAATTCCTTCATTGTCTTACTCTAGCCAACCTTTCCAGATTTATTATACATTACTCCCTTTAATATATTCATTATTTTAGCCAGACTGGTCTACGTGCTATCTAAATCTTATATGCCACTTTCTATATCCTGTCACTATGCCTTTGCCCAGGCTGTGTCCTATGCCTGGAATTCTCTCCTCTCCCCTCCCCCCCCCCTCTTTTCAGAATCCCTGGTTTCCTTCAAAACTCAGCACAAATGCCACTTCCTCCTACGTGAGGTCTTTTCTGATCCTTCCAGTTGTTTATGTCTCCCCATCCCCGCAAATTGTTTTCTGTTTATCTGATGTATATTTTGCATTTACTTTTGTGTGTATGCATTGTTTTCCCCAACAGCATGTAAGTTTCTTGAGGGTATTGGCAGTTTTGCTTTTTACCTTTGTATATCAGAGTCTGGAACAAGAGTGCCTGGGGGGAATAGAACAAGATAAGTCTGGAAACCTGAGGAGGTAGGGATGCCAGGGGCTGTGAGGTCTGGAATCAGTCACTGAATGTGTTCACTACAGTGCCTACTATGTGCCAGGCAAAAGATTCTGAATTTTTCTCAGTAATCAGTCTGGAGCCCTTGCAGGGTTTTGAGCAGAAGAATGACATGGACAGATCAATGCACAGGGCAGATCCTTCTGGAGGCAGGATGCAGGATGAATTGGAAAGGACACTGAGTAGAGAGAGAAAGTTAAGTGGTTGCAGTGATCCATGTGGGTAGTAGCAAAGGTCTGTATTAAGATGATAGCAGTGGGAACAGAGAGGACAGTATGGTTACAAGAACTGTTATTGACAAAAGAATTAATGGGGCTTGGTTACTGGCATGAGAGGAGCCATCAGAGGAAGGACCAAGGTATCAAACATGGTGAATTATAACCCCACTGACATGTGAGATCAGAAGGGATGGCAAGTTTTAAGATTAAAAAGCTTGCTTTTTGATATATTGAGTTTGAGGTATGGATGGGACAGCCAGATGATAATAGCCCATATGTAGTTGAAGATGTGGGCCTCAAGCCTGAGAAAGTGGTACAGAACTGGGGGGCTACATTTGAAAGTCACCTGAAGAGAGATGATAGTTCAAGCTGTGGGAGTGGGTAAGACTGCCGAGGGCGAGAGAGAGCCAATGGCAGAATCTGGGAGAACCTCCTTCCCAAAGTCTTCTGAAGAAGAGAAGCCATTGAGGAAAGGAGGGTCCACTTAATGGGTGCCTACGATGTCTCAGAATGCCTCACAAGGGAGGGAGGACCGACTGTAGATGGAGATGAGTAACAGGATTAAGTGCTCTCAGGAGGTCAGAAGGAATGAGGGCTTTATTTTTTTCCCTTTTTCCTTTTTTTTTCTTATTTTTTTTTCAACATTCACTTTTATAAGATTTTGAGTTCCAAAATTTTTTCTCTCTCCCCTCTGCGCTCCCCAAGAATGAGGACTTTAAAGATGATTAGATTTGGGAAAAAAAACAAAACAGTTGTCAGGGGAGCTGTGGGGACAAAAGCCAGACAGCAAGGGGTTGAGGAAAGGGTGGGTGGTGCCTTGTACACAGTAGGTACTCTGTAGATGCTTGTTGAATTGAACAAGTGGAATCAAATTTTTTGAAGTTTGTTGAAGGGGAGGCCAGATAGGATAGGACCTGCAGCTGGTAGAAGAGTCAAGGAAAAGACTTGGAGAGGTCTGACCACGTGTGAAGTGACATAGGATGGAGCCAATGGAAAGAGAAATAGGATAAGAGTAATAAGAGCTCACATTTATACACTTTGAATTTTCCAAAGTATGTTAAATCATCAGATTGGATTCTTTCAGTAACCCTGTGAGTAGGTGCCATCTTTATCCTCATTTAACAGATGAGGAAACTGAGGATCAGAGATATTAAGTGACTTGCCCAGGGTCACACAGCTACTGAGTGTCTGAGGCAGGATTTCAACCCAGGTCTTCCTGACTCCAGGCCCAGCACCCTAGCCACTGCAACAGAACAAAGACCAAATCTCCCTGTCCCTTCCACACCCCTTCCTTGTTCTCCTGGCTCTGGGGCTGAGCAGAGAGGTTCTCCAGGCCCACTGTGTCCAGCAGGGTCCCTGGGGTTAGAGAGTTCTTAATCCCACCAGGGCAAAGGGCTGATAGCAGCTGAGAAATCCAGACTAAGTTTTGAATGATAATCGGGAAAATGAGGGAAGCCTTATCTCACAGGACATAAGGAGATTGGTATATGTTAGGACATTTTAACTTCTCTTTTAGCTTGATGGCCAAGGGTGGGGGGAGAAAGAGGGCAGGTAGATGAAACCTTGCAGAAGGCTTCATCTTTGCCCTCCTCTGCTCCTTCCCTGCTTTTAGGTCCCCTTAGAGAGGCTGCAGGTCTCTCTACGTACATACACCTCATTATGTTTCTGCCTGGGTTCTGTCTTAGCTTCTCACACCTTCACTTGTCACATGAGAACAAAGCATTCCTGCTTGAGTTCTCTCAACCCAGTTCTTTTCCACATGAATCATAGGATAAGAAGGAACTCCTGGGGTCCTTGTCTTCAGGGAGGCCAGTGACTAAATATTCCAGATATTGGATACCTGGACACTGTTGAGGCTTTCCTCCTGGCTTTAATGTATTGGGACGCCCCCTCTGCCGAGACTCAGATATTCCTCTTCCTGACCTTGAACATTCTCTTTTTAAAAGAGACCAGGCCTTCCAGGAGAATGAACCCTGACTTCTTGGTGATGACCCTGGGCTCTCCAGGGATGATGAGAAAGAAAAGTGGGGCCTCCATTCAGCAGGGCCACAGCCTTCAAATTGGCTTGTCTCAATTTGCTAAATGCTTTATGTAGATTTCTAAGACTGGAACCCATAGAACCCAGAGAGACCTGTCA